TAAACTATACGAAATGGGGCGATTATATCCGCTCAAGCCCCTTATTTTATTTTGTTTTTATTTTATTTTTTTGCCCCTTCATTTTCTTTCTCTTTCTTCTTCCTCCCTTTTCAATCTTCATCAAAGAACCTCACCTAAAACCTCCCAAAGAATTCCAAGCCAACAAAATTTGCATTTTTATCTCCTCTTTTTCATTTTCTTTTTCCTTCTTCTACCTCTCTTTTCAACCTCCATTTTGAATGAGTGTACGTGTATTTTTATTTGCATGTATTATAGTTAAAATAGATTGGTTCTCTTTGATACACTCTCTTAAACTCTAATGTGTACCATCATCTATTAATAGTTAAAACTCTATTGAAAGCCATTGAAGCTCACTTAAGCTAGAGTTTAAAATTTTGAATTTTTGAAATTAAAATTTGTTATGAGTGGGAGTTGTTGGAATAGATTTGGTACATCTCAAAGAGTTTGAAACTCAATTTTGGGATGAATTGGTAGATATTTGAGGTGCTTTGAACTCAAATTTGAGCCAACTCGAAGTAAAAGACGACCATAGAAGAAGATGAGATGTGCATCACATTGTGTATTACTTATGTGTCATATGTATATCCACTATATATCTCTTGTATATCCATTATACCTGTGTCTGAGATACATGTATCGCAGAGGAACCTTTTAAACTTGAATTTAATTACGAATATTGATATCAAACCAATCTAAATTTCCTCCAATCTTCCCAAATTTCATATATTGCCTCACATATTTGTTCTGAACGAATTTCAACCCATTGTAAAAAAAATCTGCCTAATTTTTTTTATAATATTGTACATTATTGGTAACTAATTTTGACTCCAAACTGATCAAAAGCAATATTAATCGGTGGTGGATACCCTTCTCGATTCCCATATGAATAATAGGATAAATTAACTAAACCGATCAAAAGCAAAATGGAAAGAAAATTCTCAGCTATAGTCCTCTCTATAGCACCAATATTAATCGGTGGTGGAAATCACCAAAATTTTAATAAATAATAGAGTTTGAACCCATATTATTCATCTTCGCTTTTGATTAGGAGAGGGTTGAAGATTATATGAAAAGAATAAAAAAGAAGTAAGATTTTTGTGAATAATCCACAAATACATGTGATAATGGCTTCTAATGCTTTTAAGCAGAAAATTGGGACAAAACGGCAAATGGGTTGATAACTTGCTACAAGGCTTCCGTTCTTGAGAAGAGAGTAGGTCTCTAATGCTGCACCAACACTTGCAACAAGTAGCATTCCGATAACCTAAATTCAAAAAATTTAGGGAATAATATGAGCTATAATTATGCCAAAAAAAAATAAAAAAAATATTACTCCCGCTAGCTCTCCCACTTTATGAATGAGAGAAAGTGTTTAATTTGTGTGGCTATAGATCATATTTCATTAAGGATATAATTAAATTATCATGTGTTAAATTTACTAATAATATAAGAAAATATTAACACTGTCAGTATACATAACTTAAATCCTTAGAAAATAAAATATTGACTACATCACAAGAATATTCTCATGACCGAGAAAATAATAACTATAATTCTGCTACATGATAATTTAACTTCTAAAGAAATTTCCTTAAAAATCGGTAAACCTAAATCAGGAAAGTAATAATTTCTTACCTTCCCTTGATCCTGAATATATAATAATTTCTATACGTATTAAACACTCTACGGTCTCATATGCCGACATGTCCCACCTAAACATAACTTAGGAAAGAATTTCTTTTTACAAAATATTTACCATAAAAAGATATATGTTACCCCAAGTTTATACGCAAGCTAATCAATTTAAGTTCTAAATATAGTGTAAAAATATTTATAGAATTTTATCACTTAAGAAATAATTACAAGTAAATTATATGATCTAACATAATTCGATAACCTAATAAAAATAGTATTCAAATTAACATAGTAGGTTCAATGGTGTGTCTACATAACTTGGGGTTTAAGTTATATACCCTACAAATGCAGTTTAACTTGTTATGGTATGTTAGTTACCATTTTTATGAGATTATTAATTAGTAATACTTATCACAAACCTATAATTAACTTATAAGTAACTTGATTATGTAAATATTTAATATAACTTAAACCTCAAACTATATGAAGATGAAATTGTCCTTGAGTCGAGGGTCTATCAGAAACAGCCTCTCTACTTAGGGGTAAGGTCTGCGTACACATTACCCTTCACAGACCTCACGTGTGGGATTTTACTGGAATTGTTGTTGTTGTTGTTGTTGTTATATGGAGACAAAACTAAAACTTAAGAGGAGATATAGAAATAAAATATGAATTTAGAGGTGAAAATTCTTACTGAAAGCTGTTCCAATCCTTGTAAGTTGCTGTGAAAAAGGATGCATCATTTAATATGTGAACTGTTTGTCTGGTAGATAACATGGTAAGTGCAGCTGCTAAGCATGTTGCAAATATGACGAATCTTACTGCTATCGAAATTTTTGTCTTGGCCATTCCTGGAAATTCTGAATTCATATTAAGATAAAAAAGAAAAAAAAATCATGCACACAAATGAATAATTGTGTATCTCTTATAGTGCCACACTTTGAGAGTTATCGCGTTGAATTAACTCACGTTTGGAAATAATTTTTTGCTACTAGAGTAATTTTCTATTTTTCTTTTGATTTAATCATATGATATCAACAGACGGACGAATTCAGATTCACGACACGTAAGTGTTGTATTTGTATAGCTGTTTAAGGAGTACTAGCAAATAATGGAACGAGAAAGAACACGAGGAAGAAAAAAAAAACTTACAATTTGATTTCGTTAGAGAAGGAAATTCTGTAGGAATTTACATAAGAAAAGATGGAGAGGAGCTATAGGCTTTGGCGAGAATTTAAGGGAGAAAAGCAGTTCTAATTTAGGCTTGGTTCTTGTCCAGCCCACTAGAATAATATTGGGCTTGGCCCAAAGCATTTTCATTTAGAGGGTCTCAAGTTGTCTTGTTTTGGTAAAATTTAGAGAAAACTACCCTGTATAGCCCTTCAAAATTTTAATAGCTCATATTTTTCCCCTTGGACCCGAAATGTCCCTCCGGCCCAAGCTTATTACATCTAATAGCCCATAACCATAAACCACCCACGCCTTTTAACTCGCTCCGTTATTTTCCTATTGCACTCGGCTTTCTCAAAACACCTTTCTTCTCAAACACAGCTTCTCCATTTTTACTCTTGCTCTCAATGTAAGTCAAAATTTCAGTAGGTTTTCCGATTTTTGTTCATAGTCGACTCTATAATGGGGGAAAAGAAGTCTTTGAAGAAAAAAAGGAAGTCGAAGGCATCTCCAAATTCTCTGAAATTAGCTGGTAAATTAGTGAAATATAACCCTAATTTCATTAGTAATGATGATGACGATTTTGAAGATTTACCCAAATTTTGGGTGCGATTTGGGGCATGCAACCCCTAAATCTGTTGAAGTAATGCAAAATGCCCCTATTGAAGGAATGCAAAGTACCCCTGTTGATAGAAGGACTCGTTCTCATAGCGGGACTCCCAGCGATAGAGTAACGAGGTCACAAACTACTCAGCGTGTAGTTGTTGAAAAAGGCACAAATTCAAAAAGAAAGATTAAAATAGTGAAAAAGGATGTTATGAAGGATAAGGGTAAAGGTTCTAAAAGGAAGGCTAAAAGGGATGGGGGTGATGTTCCATCAAAAAAGAGAAAAGTTCATATTGATCAAAAATGTTCTAGCTCATCTGATTTGAAGGTATTTTCTAATGATATAACTTTGACTTGTGTGCGCTAAGTTTATTTTAGTATGTAGAAAATTTATCCAATATAGCAGTTATGTTCCAGATTTGTATATAAAATGTATCATTCTTTTTTATCTTGTATATAAATTGTATCAAGTCAATAAGTAATCTGCAACTTTTGTATATAAAGTGTATCATCTATCCACATAGTGTATAAGTAATGTTTAAAGTGCGTATTTGTGATTGTTATGAAGCTTATATATTTATACTTTTGTGTTGTTTGCAGCTTTGGGATTAATATGTTCCTTTGGATGATCATTATAGTACTCGTATCAGTGTGCATACAAACTGCAGTATAGTGAAACATTTGAAAGATAGTTTGGATGATCAGCAGATTGAGATGTTTAGAAGAACATGTTTTGGTTATTTTGTTGACTTGCCCGAATTTTTTATACAGAACCAACTTATCCATTCACTATTGCTTAGGGAAGTAGTGTCACCTAAAGATAATGAGTTATGGATTAAAGTGAATAGCACCAAGTTGCGCTTTGGACTTGCAGAGTTTTGTATTATCACAGGTTTAAAGTGTAATGATGATCCCAATAAGGATTATGAATCTGTCCAGTCGAGTCGGTTGATGGAATTGTACTTTCCAAGCATGTAGAAAGTGTCTAAGAAATTGTTAACTGACTGTTTCTTAAAAAAGATGTGAAAATCTGATGAGGATGCATTAAAGATTGCAGTATTGTATTTCATTCACAGTTTCCTATTTTATATTATGAATGATGATTTGATAACAAAGAATGATTTTCTGTTGGTTGAATCTGGTGATTTTGAGACTTTCCTTTGGGGAAAAGTGGTTTTTAATGCTACGCTGGAGTCCATGAAGGATAAGGTTCGTAGCAGGAGAGAGATGTACCGATATGGTGGTTTGCCTTTGGCATTCCAGTGTTGGTTTTATGAATGCTGCCCCTGTACTCGCAAAAACCTCGCTTACCGGATTGGAGATCTTGTGCCACGCATACTTAACTGGCATGTAAAGAAGAAGGTGACCTTTAAGAGGTTGAGGAAAGAGTTTTTTCTTTTAAGTCAGGAGCAGGTTAAAAATATACATTTCTGATATATAAATTATACATTTCTGATACATAAATTATATATTTCTGATACATAAATTATGCATTCTTTTTTTTTTTTTGGTAATTAGCTTTTTCATTACCAGGAAAATATTTACAAGTAAATCAGAACCCTTACATATTATCCTGATGGGTACCAGTCTAGTCTATGTAGGATTTTCTCAGTATGCCTACTACTTCGACAATGCAGCTCTTGTATAATCTTCTTGCATGTTAACTCCCATTCTTTTGCCTTAGCTTGGAAAGTTCGAGCATTCCATTCTTGCCAAACATAGTACACTGTTGCTGCTAGTGCCATTTTATATAACTCAGCTGCTGTTGTTTTCCTCTTAGTCCACATCTCAGCCCATCTTAGTTCCTCATCCCAGCCATTTACTGATCTTTTAATCCCTTGCCATGTTAACAGTGTGCTCCATAATGTGTTTGCATAAGAGCATTCAAAGAACAGGTGCTGTATGATTTCATTTGCTTGCTTGCACAGAACACATTCTTGATCCACTCGTACTCCCCAGCTCTGTAATCTATCTCTTGTGTATAACCTGCCATGTGCTGCCATAGTTAGTATAAAAGTCCACCTGGGGCATCCTGTGTTGTGACATACAACTCTTCTCCAGCTGACTTTGTCAAATCTTCCTCGCAGTCTGTGATATATGTTTTTAATCGNAACCTGCTTCCAATAATGTTCTTCTTTGCTTTCATGATCTTACTCACCATCCAAGATGTTTGTTTCAATTGTATTTCCCATATGTGCTTGTCTTTGATATAGTAACTATGCATCCATTGTATCCACAACTTCTTCTTTTCTTTGCAAAGATTCCAGTATTGCTTACATATGGCAGCTTTGTTCCAGATGGTTATGTTCATAATGTTAAATCCCCCAGCTGACTTGGGTAGACAAACTTTCTCCCATGCCAATAGAGCTTTCTTTGAAATACTGCCTTCTCCTGTCCACAGGAAACTTCTACATATTGCTTCAATTAGCTTTGTGATCTTTTTAGGAAGCACAAAGATTTGTGCCCAGTAGGTTTGGATAGAGAACAAGACACTCTTTATCAGTTGAATCCTTCCAGCATAGGATAGGAATTTGGCAGTCTATGAAGTTATTCTGCCCACTATTTTATCAATTAGAGGCTGGCATTATACTATGGATATCCTTTTTGAGCTTAGTGGGGCACCTAGGTATCTTACTGGCAGTTCCCCTCTCTGAATTCCTAGAAATTCTAGGATTTCCTCTTGTGCAGCTTGTGGGACCCCACCAAAGAATATAGAACTCTTGTTTTTGTTAATAACCAGGCCATAAGCTTTTGAGAACTCCATAAAGCAATGGAACAGTAATTTATGTTTTCCTCTCAAAAAACGCCCCTCTCCTGCCTCCTTAGTTCTAAATTATGTCAAAAGTGTGTCCCCTCCTTCAAAGTGGTGTTTTAGGATGTATTTATATGAGTTAGGGTTGATGGTGGAATTCTTCAATCCAACTTCGGATGGGAGAGCTGGAATCCGCGTCTGCCTTCGCGTCTAGATGCGGACTTTGACGCGGATCCGCGTCTGCCTTCGCGTCTGGACGCGGACTTTGACGCGGATCCAACTTTTGAGATTCTTCCATTTCGCGAAGCGCTCCGTGCCTTTGCTTCGCTTCGCTTTTTTGTGCCTTAACTTTTCTCCTTTTTCGCGTCCGACTTCGTGCCACGCACGAGAATAGACGAGCTCCCACTCCTTTAATTTCTTCTTTTTGTGTTGAATTGTCATCTTTTGATCATTTAGCATCCAAACTCGTTCCTACACATAAGAAACACATAATGAGTATATTTTATTTCGAAAATCATGTAATCTCCCGCGACACACACAAAAATTAATATGCAAATATACTAAAAAATATGCACTTTTCATCATTTATCACCAAACATCAGCCGCTTCTGCGGTTTCCCTTGGCCTGGCCCTTTCCGCTTCTGCGATAGATTGACCGCATCTGTGGTCCCGCTTCTGCGGTCCAAGAACCGAAAATGCGGTTATGACAGAAGCAGCAACTGAAAGTTGTTTTCTTAAATTTCCTACTTTGCTCGAACCTCGCTCGTTTGACGCTCGGGGCTCCCGAGCCCCGCCCGAACATACCGGCAAGTCTGATCACGAGGCGGACCTACTCGCACCCTCGGAACACTCAAAACAACGCTAAATCTAGGAATCACCCCCTAAAACCAAATGAATCAAACTATTGAACTTCAAGTTCTTAATTCTCCTCTAACGGGTCAAAACGCCCTTAAACTACTCGGGTTGGCACCAAATTTTACGGGCAAGTCTTAAACAACATTACGGACCTGTACCAAGCTTCGGAACCAAAATCCGAGCCTGATACCTAGGGAATCAATGATTACTTAGTTTCTTTAATTCTTTAAAACTTCAATTAAACAAATTTAAATAAAAATTCATTACTCGGGCTAGGGACCTCGGAATTCGATTTCGGACACACGCCCAAGTCCCATATTTTCCCACGGACCCTCCGAAATTGTCAAATCACGAATCCGGATCCGTTTTCCCAAAAAGTTGACCGAAGTCAAACTTGGTCTTTTAAGAAAATTTTAAAGAAGCAAATGGACATATTTTTGCTCAGAACTCTTCCCATTCCCGAACCAATCGCCCCCCTCACCACAAGTCGTAAATTAATTAAAGCAAGTACAAGAGGCTTTATTTAGGGGAACGGGATTCTAAAAGGCGAAAGGACCGGTCGGGTCGTTACATGCGTAGTGCTTCATTACACTAATGAGTGTATCTTTGTCCCAATACAACTGACCTTCTGCAATTCTTCATGTTGTGGATTGTCTATTATACAATTTCCCTTCAATATCTCAATTTTGTCTTCTTTTACATGATTTTCCATCATCTCAACAATATTAGTTCCGTGTACTTCTTCGACGTTCTGACATTGTAAACCAGCTGAAGTTGTTGCGAGTAAGTTGCCAGCTGAAGTTGTTGCGAGTAAGTTGCCACCCAAGTATGAACTTGAATATGAGCATTCAGCACTTGAATACACAGTTTTCAATGTTATGCATAATGGATATTCAGTGATATCTAGGTTTTTCTTTTTCATCTCCATATACAAGCGCGCACTTATATCATTGTATATTGGAATTGCTATATAGTCATCCTTCACTATATATTTTATCTCCATTGCACTTGTAATTGAATCTCTACCCAATTGCTTGTATATCTCATCAACAAAAAAATCATAGCTACAGTCCGAATTGATCAACATACCATTAACAAGGAAATTAACAATTTTACTCTCACTTACCCATTCACCACTGTGTTGAAGTAAAATCGGAATCATAATTGGAACAGTAGTTCCAACATTCACAATCTCCATAGACATTAGTTGAGTTTGTCGATTTTGTATCAATTTCACAATTTAAGAACGAAATCTCAACTCTATTAAGTTGATTGTAGGCAGCAATTGTGCAAAAATTTTAAATTTCAGTGTGAATTTTTTGGAGCTCTTCTCTGGGTTTAATCTTCAAAAATCCTAGAATTTTTTTCACAATGTGAATAATTGGGCTACCTTTATAGTGTTTGAAGGTTGAAGATCCCATACTGAACGCGTGAATTTAGGATACAAGATCGATTAGGACTGCTTTCCTTTTCGTTTGCGTTGAGCGTATAGTTTCAGCTTTTTCAGCTGCTAGACTTTGTTATAGTTTTTAGGCTATGACTTGTAAGGGGTTATTTTGTGGCTATCAGGTGATATAAGTTTGGCCCTAGTGGCTACAAATGAAGTTTGCTCTAAAATTTATCACACCAAAATCGTAGATGCAGCTAATAAAAAAAGAAGGAAATATGGTCAAATTTGCCATGTACTATTCGAAATTGAGCAACTTACCACCGGCACTATGGGAAATAGATTCATTTTCGTCCTTAACCTATAACAGAGCTCCAATCTAAGGATAATCATATAAATCATAGTTAGAAGTTGAGTGGTATATTTGCAAATGTAATACAGCATTGTAATACAGGGATTATTTGTTGTTGGATATCTGATTTGTTGATTAAAGAAATTAGTTTTGAAGATCACGAGGGTGTTTTGTCATTTTTTAGTTTAATTTATGCATTGTGTGCTTATTGCACATTTTACAATGCATAAAATAATACATAGATTTTCACGTAACTTATGTATAAATCATATACGAAGAAAATCAAAATTGAAACCAAACAACATATAAGACAATGTTGGATTTTATATCATGATTAGTTCCTCCTATCAACTAACAAACGTGCTATTGCTCGACTGTTTTCTTTTTAGTTTTTTCTTTTTCTTTCTTTTTATTGCTTGAGTATGGATCATCTTGGTTACATATCCTGTTAGGATCACAGTTTTTGCCTTTGAATTAAGAAATCATGCTTCCTTGCAAAAACAAAAATAATAATACTGTTCTACTATTAGTGAGCAGGCCTATTATGTAGTCAGAGTCAGTGGGGCGAAGTCAAAGTGGTTAAGATACATAAATCATCTGCCTCTAGATTCAGGCCAATTAGGCAATTAATTACAAATGATTTCTCTTTCCCAGTTTCACTGAACTTGGTGGTCTATGGTAGTTAACCATCATGAGACAGGTTGTTTGAGTAGTGATTGTCATTTGGCCCCTCTTCTACATTCATAGGTACACAAGAATGCTGTGTTACATGTAGTTGTTTATGGGTGCGAACGTGCGCAATGATTGATCAGAAGGAGTACGTCAATTGTCTTATTTTGCTACTAATTATTACTCCAATTGTTTCAATTTATGTTATGGTATTTGATTGGGAACAGAGTGTAAAGAAAAATACTACAATAACTTTTGAAATTTGTGGTCAGCAATATTTGTGTGACTATAAATTATTTCATTAATGATAAAATAAGTATTTTAAAGTTAAATTATTGCTAAACATAAAAAAATATTATTCGTATTTTTAAAAAAGGAAAGGATGCCAGAGAATCACGTTAAGACAAATGGAAAATTCGTGTAATATAGCAAGAAAATTGTGTAAAGAGATGGTCCTTGTGTTGCTTTGTCGAATTTGCATACAAGCCCCATTCATAACATGAATTCATAATGTGCATTTGCCAAGGTTTATTGGAGATTTGACACAACTACCTAATGTCAGGACGCATGATGGAGAATGCGTGCTTTTTCTTATTCCATTTCATACTCATTTATTTTTTAACAAGAGTTCTCTTTATGTCGTTAAAGGCGGAGCTAGTTTATTGTGCGCGGTTCGTCCAAGTCCAGTCATTTTTACTCAAATTTTGTATTTATATTAGGAATTAGATACGTACAAATATTTAATTACGAACGCAGTAACTAAGATGCGCTACGAGTTTTGTAGCAAATTCAAAATTCATAAACTTCAAATTCTTGCTCCGCCTTTGTATATTGCAATAGATTGATGTCCATATTATAACGAGCAGATTGAACTTTTCAAGTTTCTTTTTTCCTTTCCTAAATTCACAAAAGAGAGTTAACTTGGAACTAGCATGAAAAACAATTATTAACAGAAGAAAATGGAAGATATAAGAAGAAGCCTGGAGCCTAATAAGTTTTCTTGGGGAAAGTTCTTATAAATAATCCAACTTCATCTAATCATCTATATTATATATTAATAATTATTTATCTTAAATATTTGGAAATCTTATCAAACACTAGAATAAACTAATTAAAGGATTTCCAATTCAAATCAAAGCTATCTATGTTTTTTCATTTCTTCATACATCTCCTCCCACTTCTTTCTTTCCATCAACTTCTCCACTATTATTCTCATTAGCCCTTTTCTTCCAAAACATCAAATGTAGACTTCTTCTCTCCAAAATCTTCTCAATTTCCTCAATTGGAAGTCCCTTAGTTTCTGGAACACAAATCAGGACAAAAAATAGGGCTACAACAGAGAGAACTCCAAATACAAGAAATGTCCATGATGTTCCAATAGCATGTGTCAGTGACAAGAAAGATTGTGCTACAATGAGATTTGAAATCCAGTTTGCTGTAGCTGCTATTCCTCCACAAATTCCTCTGAATCTTAAAGGATATATCTCCGAGTTAACAATCCATGGAACGGTACCCATTCCCGGAGAGAAAAATATGATGTATAGCGCTAGCCCGAGTAGGGCTAGCCATCCATATCTACTAGGGCATCCTCTTGTGTACCATAACCTATCTTGATCATGACATGCATCCTTAATAGTATCATTAGATATGAGACATGCCCCAGGTAGCAACTACAACAAAGAAAAAAATATTAAACATACCTTTTGATAGATATATACTTGTAATATTATATTAGTATTGAATATCAAGATAGTATAGACATTCCGCTTATGGCTATTATATAATGTCATAACACGTTATCAAAGAGAACATAGGAGAGTGTTGGGCTCGATCTTAAAAGCATGGTAAGATGCATTACTTATCATTTTCATGTAGGCATAAAAGATTAAAAGGCTGTTGAAACAAAAATTTGCTCCCTTCAATCTCAAATATTTAATCGTTTTGGCAAACTGAATTTGTTCGAAATTTTTTGAAGTTTTAGAAAAACAAGAAGCATTTATTATTTTCTCCCCAAAATATAGTGCTAACTAAATGAGACAATTAAAAGACAGATAAAGGGTATTTCATATAAATACTGTAATGATTAAGGCTATTGAATATTTGGGATTTTTATACAAATAGCCAGTCGGATTCACTGTTTTCTTTTCGTAACCGGTATACATAGATTATACATTGATCATACACGACTATAAACATATTATACATGAATTATACATAATACGTCCATCGACTATATTTAATTTAAAAGGTTAAGTGAGGGGCTATTTAGGTTAATTCTTCAATATCTTTCTTAGGAAGTGTGCAAAAACCTTAAAACACAGATAATAGGAAGCGGAGGTTGTAGCATATAAGAGAGTCATTGTTACCTTATTTTGAGGTGAAGCACAGAAGCCACAATCAGGAGAAGCTTTAAGACACCTAGTACAATCCCAAGAATTAGCAGAACCAGCATTATGGTAAGCAGGACAAGTAAATGTTGCTGCAAAATGAGATGTCTCAGCCATACTAACTGCTGGTGAAGTTGAAGCTGCCTCATAGAAAACTGCTGACAAAAAACCTAGAGAAATCATAACACCAAACAAGCTAATCACAAGAAGTTTCTTCCTCCCTGTCCTGTCTATGAAATATATACTAATAATCGAGCCAAAAGCGTTTAGCCCGGCTGTGACAAGCGATAGAAGGAGAGCTGTCCGGTTCGAGGCAATTCCAGCTAGTTGAATGATAGTAGGACTGTAATACATGACAGTGTTTATGCCAACAAATTGCTGGAATATCTGGAGACCAACTCCAGCTATTAGTCCCCGACGAATTGTCTTCGTCTGGCATAACTTGAAGAGATTGATACCCTCAGATGCTTTGTTTTCTTCATTTTCTTTGTCTACTGATTCTTTAAGAGCTTGAATTTCAACTTCAACTTGGTCAGGTGAATATATCTTCCTTAGTATTGCTTTGGCTTCCTCTTGCCTCCCCTGTTTTTTCCAAGAAAACATTTGTAATTACTGCATTATTGTCTTGAATGTGAAATACGATCAAACCTTTCTATAACAACATCGTTTGTTCCGAAATTTTATGGCTGTCATAGTGAAGTGTTGTTATAGAGATCATATATTATGACATAGTATGAAAAATTGCTTTCAAAGAAGACGTGGCCGTTATAGTGAAGTTTTATCATAGAGGATGACTGTTATAGAGAGGTTTGGCTGTATCATAATTGCTAGAAAAAGTATCTTGTTTTGTTCATAGAAGAAAGAATTAAATTAGAGTTTAACTTTTGTTCAACTTGTTTACACCATCAGGTTAAGATTACCTCCAACAACTTGTTTGTTGCACTAAATAACTTTCTATAACAAGTTAAGTATGCTGATAGTATAAAATTCTTTATATTGTTAGTATATATAGGTTAAATGCATGAAATTAACCTTGCGATAAAGCCAACGAGGCGATTCAGGAAGGAGAAGCATTAGTATGAATTGGAGGAGGGCTGGCAATCCTGCTACTCCAAGCATCCATCTCCAGGTCCCTGGTGCCTAATTACAAGCAGTAAATATTATTATATACATGTACATTATTGGAGAATAGCCGTCCAACCAACCGCTTAAACCAAAAATAGCATACGGATGTAAATATAAGTAAAATCTATGTGTAATATGTGTACAACCATGTATAATCAGTGTATAATCTATGTATACCGGCTAAGAAAAGTAAATGGTGAACTCGACCGACTATTTAAGCAAAATTCATGGAAAGAATTAATTAGAGTTGCATACCTTGGTAAAAGCAAGGTTAATAAGGTAAGACAAGAATTGGCCACCAGTAATGAGAAATCCATTAGTACTAACAAGGGCACCTCTAATTTTAGCAGGAGAAGCCTCTGATATATACAAGGGAGCAGTCATTGATGCCATTCCAACACCAAGTCCAACAAAAACTCTACCAACAATAAGAAGTGCTGAATTCACTGCTGATGCCATAATCACAGCTCCAACAAAGAATAGGAAATCAGCTATGAGTATAGCAGTTTTCCTTCCAAATTTGTCATTTAACCATCCACCAATTGCTGCTCCTATTATTGCTCCAGCTACTGCCATGCTCACTATAGATTCCTACAAATTAAATTAAAGCCATGCATAATTAGCAATTTTTAGTGTTATGTTGACCGAAAAATTTGGTGTCCTGTGACCAAAAGGTCACGGGTTGGAGCCGTGGAAACAGCCTCTTGCAGAAATGCAGGGTAAGGTTGTGTACAATTGACCCTTGTAATCCGGCCCTTCCCTGGATCTCGCGCATAGTGGGAGCTTAGTGCACTGGGCTGCCCTTTTAACCTAAATAGCCTTCAACCCAACCGCTTAATTTAAAAAAGACGGCAGATATATAATATATGTATAATTTATTTATATATGTGTATAACCGTATATAAACAGAGCATAATCTATGTATACCGGCTAAAAGTAACCAATATATGAATCCGGTCGACTATTTGTTTAAAGATCCAAATTTTAATTATATTAGGTGTTTATATCAAGCAAATGAATACATGACATGTGATACTTATACTTTTATCACTTAATTCCATGGTTAATTAATTTTTACATTATATTTTTTATGTAACCATAAAAATCAATATAGTTTAGTGTAAACATGCGATACGGATAGTATGTGGTTTTGGGAAATGCAAATAAATTAAAATGTACAAGAGGAATAATCTCATTATTTCAAACCGCTAGGAGGGTTCTGTATTAATAAATGGTGGAAATTTGAGAGGCTAGAATTCTGGAAAATGAGACATTTGAGAGTCTGATTCCTCTTTGTTGAGAGTTAGCCCATGAAAATAACAAGAACTTTAAAGCAACATATCTTATTTTATTTTTTCGGAAAATAATTTTGTTAAACCAATTTTAACCAACACAATTTGAAAGCTAAAAGTCTCAATTTAAAATATTATTTAAATATTTAATGAAATTATTGAAATAAAAAAAACATGTGAGGGTTAAAAATTAGGTATCTATAGGACTCAAGGTTTATATTGAATCTAATCAAGTTCAGGTGTAGACAATAAATGAATGGTCCAGCTACTTGATACATGTGTCACATAGTTATAGCAGAAAACGATTGATACTAACTTTTTTTTCTTCTGGAGGGAATTCTTTTTTTTACGCTTGTTAAAACGGGTAAAGTTCAAAAATAGCCACATATTCAAAAGTCACTAAAAATTAGCCAATTTTTTAAATCCATGACTCCCACTATCATGGAGTTTCACTTGTTTTTTTACCTTTGATGGATTTTAAAAATCAGGACAGTATTCCGAATATTATGGATTTTTCACTTGTTCAAGTTCGAATTCCATGACAATGTCACGGTGTTTTCGCAGTAAAAATAGCTACTTTTCGAAGAATTTTCAAATAATAGCTATTTTTCAAAAATTGGACAGATAAGTGGCTAATTTGTATAATTTTTACTGTAAAAACAACGTAGTTTAATCGAACAATTTGTTGGATATGGACCTGGCATGGAACTATAAAATCACAAACTAAATTGATGGAAATCTGTCTTTCTAATCCAAATAAATGAAAGGGTCTCTGTAACAACATTCCTATATAACAACACTTCACTATAAAAGCCAAGCTTTTTCGGAACCAATTTTCATGTTATGTTATAATCTATGTTCTATATAACAGCATCTCGCTATAACATCCAAAAATATTCGGAACAAACGAGGCTGTTATAGAGAGCTTTGACGATGTATTCTTCTCGTAACAAGTATAACAATAAGGGGGTAATTTTTAGTGCAAGAAAAGAATAGTATAAAAAAGTTTCTGCCAATTTAATATAACAGTTGAAATTATGACGCAAAAAAAAAAAAGGAAAAAAAGAAAAAGAAAATATAGAAGGATAATTGGTGTGTGCAAACCTGTAAGACAGTATTCCTATCAACATCCTTGAAGTCATCCCTAATATAAAGCAGAGCTCCTGATATTACTCCTATACTCCACAAAAACAACACCAAGAACATGAGACACTCAAATAAGTTTGTTTAGTTGGAATTAATGGAAATTAAAGGAAAAAAAAAATTAGTCTGAGTGATACTGCTAAATGAGTTAATTTAACCTCAATATATTGACGATTAAAGTGTAAATAACCTTTCATAGCAATTCTTATAACATAACTTTGAAATAGAGTAAATAACCTTCTTATATCAGGTAAAAGTGTAAAATTCTTTAATATTGTCACTATATACTTATAAGTTAAATATATTTGTAATTATATAAAGTATAAGTTCTATGCACTGATTGTGTAAAACAAAATTTATACTACCAATATTGTAGGCAATTTTTTTATAGAAATACTAAATAACCTTCCATATATAACATGTCAAGATTCGCTGATAGGGTAAGAAATTTTTTACAACGGTCAGTATATATAACTTAAATCCGTAATTATATATATAAATATAAAGAGAGACCTGTATCATAGCCAAAGAGAAGGCCACCAATTCCAGCAGAGAAAGCAAGGCGAAGAACATAAGGATTTTTGTAAGAAAGAGCTAAACATTTTTTGAAAGCTGTTGCATCTGTACCATGACCAACTCCTCCTTCCATTTCCACTTCTCAAACTAACTAACTTAATTGTGGGGTTTTTAGTTTACTTTTTTTTCTTGAATTTTCACTTCAAACACAAAGAAGTAAACAGTAGAAGACACTAGAAAGTAGAAGAAGAGAAATTAAGTGTCTACTGGCTTTTTGGAACATGGAAAATGGAACTATGTGTAAGAAAGAAGAGGAGAGAGATAATCTAACAAGGGAACTGCCTAAGATTGTGCAAATTTATAGAGGGCAAGAAAACGTGCCAAAAAATTACTCCATCCGTTTTAATTTATGTAAACCTGTTTGACTGGGCACGGAGTTTAAGAAAAAAATGAAGAAATTTTAAAATTTGTGGTCCTAAACAAGTCAAAAAGGGACGGTTATAAAAGCTTCTCATTAAGGGTATATTGGTAAGTTTAAGCTAAATTATTTTCAAATTTAGAAAGTGATCATTCTTTTTGGAACGGACCAAAAAGAAAATAGATTCACATAAACTAGAACGGAGGGAGTAGTGGACAATAAAACTAAAAAAGAAAATAACTAAAAAAGAAGATAGTACTGCTATGTTTTTTCAGGTAAAACAGGGGAGAAGAGGGGATAGGGGTGGTTATTAGCTAAATTTAACCGACGATCAAGGATCATGGTGGAATATACATGATCTCGTCACCCTTAATCAGAAATTTTGAGTGTAAGCTCAAAAAATAAAAATCTTGATAGGATACGTTTTCTTTAATGGATCTTACGCGACACAAATATAAATTAATTTAGGTCTCAATATAAATACTGGACACTAACAAATATTTTTGAAAAAAAACTAACTTTAACGGAGACTCTAAAGGGATCAAGAAATCTGCCAATGTTGTCTGATTCCTACTTCTAATAATTCACACTGCTAAAGGTGAAGCACTCTCTTGAATTTGTTATGACCAACAAATACACCTTTTCTTCTAATAGTTTGGAATTTTGGACTTCATATTAACAGGAAAAGATTGACTTGATATCCAAAAATACTTTACGCACTCTGTTTATATTAAAACATATTACTAACTTTTTATAATTAAATGAACAATTAAGGTAGAAATATGTATTGATTAATCACTATTAGACAATAAAAAAATATATGCAAATCCATATTATATATTTATTAACTATTAGTCCAATTTACTTAGCTCAAAACATTTCTTAATCAATTTCTTATTACACCATTGACCATATACACAATTTTCTCTATTTATCCATTTATTTCATGATTTATGTTTTTTGCCTAGAGAAATTGACTAGCTTAGTTGAGTAGTATGTCTTGTTTAGGCCTTCAAATAGCAGGTTAAGAATATGCTTGTTAGGTTATACTATTGTAATATATTTCAATCCAAAACTTTGACTTATCAGGTCATTTCGTCACGTCATTAGTTATATCATTCATTTTACTAGTCAAACTTTGGGAGTTACATTAAGGGTCCGTTTGGTCATAAAATTTTTTTTTTTTTTTTTCCGAAAAATCAGTGTTTGGTCATGAGAATTTTAAATTTTTCCTTGAAGTTGAATTTCGAAATTTTTGAGAAATTGAATTTTTTTTTCACTTCAAAGCACTCATAAAAATTCAAAAACAGCTCCAGATTGTTTATGTCCATACACAACTCTAATTTTCAAATACCATTTTTAACTTCGAATTATTTTTTACTTTTTTTCCGGGATTTCATAATTCTTATGTCCAAACGCCCACTAATTAGGCCTAATTATGGCTAATATTTGGTTAGAAAAAGTTTCTGATATTCCCAAAAAAAAAAAAGCAATTTATGGGAAATTAGCAGAATATAAAAAAGAAGAAATTACACTCTATGTCACTACTTGGCCCACTATTCTAATAAAATACGGCCCATATTTTCCCTTCTTACCCGGTATGGCCCAGTTCTATACTGTTGAATTTTTTTTTTCACTGATTAGCCCTCGCCGCCCACACTCTTTTTCAGACTTTCTCCCCACCCCACTTTCTCTTTCATTTTCAATCTCTTGCTCTTTCTCTGTCTCTTTCTCTCTCTCTGGCAAAATAGTCGAATTCTTCTTTAGATTTCCTTGCTCCGTTCATTATCTTCCTCTTCCACAAAATAATTTTGTTGAACAATCCACACCGGATCTATCTTTTGTAGTCTTTTTCTTTTCTTTGAACTGGAGTTAGCAGCCAGTGGTTTGGGATGTTTTTCAGCTTCACTTGAGTCCAACCAACTGAGAGGATTGCGATTATAGACGGGCCAGTTGGGGATGGTGACAAGGGCAGTAAAGACATACACCACCAGCATATGTTAACAGCATAGTCTGAAATGATCCCAACGCATAGCCTTTCTTCTTCTTCTTCTCACTTTAAATAACTTCTGAAGGGAGGAAGAATGATGTATATGTTGTATATACATATATATACTTTGTATAATCATGTATAACCATGTATATTTGTGTGTATTCTCATAGTTATACAGAATTATACATGATTATACACAATTATACAAGATTATACATAATTATACATGATTATATTTGTGTGTATAACAATGTATATAAGGTGTTTAATAATGTAAATTTTTATTTTTTCCACTGAAATAAGAATTTCCCTTTGCAAAACTTTAAATTTTACAAAAAAAAATATAAAAATAAAATTATAGACTCTAAGGATGAATATATTTTTATTTTTTACTTCAACTTGCTGATATTATTTACTATACAGAGGGAAGTAAAAAATAAATAAGAATGAAAATGAAAAAAGGGTAAAGATAAAAATGAAAGAAAAAAGTGAAATCTGATTTAGGCGTGATTTTGGGTGTAGTTGATGAAGTTGTGGGTTAGGCGCTGAAATTATTTGTGGGCTACCGTATGAAAACTTTATTTGTGGGTTAGGCGGCTGAAAAGTGCTTTCCCCAAGTGTACTTATGTGAAATTATCCCTATAAAAAATTGATCCCTGCTAGTTTCACGAAATTTGGTCGAATGAAAATTGTTCATTAAAAAGGTTGTTCAACTGTATAACATGAGAAAATCAAAATATAGCACAAAAAGCAGTCATGTAATATATTTAGTATGATAATATGTTCCGTAAATATTTGGTGCAAGAAAAATAGTTAAGGAGTATAAATAGTGCGCTACTTTATAGCTTCCTTGGTTTCTTATTGTTTTACATTTAATATTGCCATTTATGTAGGATTAATGTTTAACTCTAAAATCAAGACACTTGTAACAAATTAAACCAAAATTTACCTTCTTAATATCTTGAACCTTGTTTTAAAATCTTATTACCATGTTTGAATTGGAACCATCAACCTGTTACGTTATTAGCGTATAAGTTTATTGATAATGGATAAAGTGACGGAGCAAGAAATTCATAAACATAAGCCCAATAAAGAAAATGGTCAACCACTATAGAAAAAATTATGAAATGAAAAAGTTACTTGTGAAGAAATTAAAAAGATGTTATTCAAAAAGAATGAGAAAAAATTACAAAGTTATGTGAGAAAAAAAATTAAATTTTCCACTCCATTTAGACCTCATTATCAACTAAATGAATATCTTAATTAATCAAACTTAGGAGAAGAATATTAACAAGACTTTAAGATTATTGCTACTACTAGTCATTCCAAAGAAGAACTTTAACCAAACACGTATAACACTATAGATAATAATTGACTAATAGTATATTCTTATTTCATCTGGCATTTTCTCATGTTGCTGGCTTGAAAATCAATTTTTGTCAAAAAAAAAAAAAAAGTTTGTTCTATGAAATTATGAATCTTGTCCACAATCTCTATCTTGACTAGTAAGTCTGTTTCTATTTTATACTAACATAGCAAAAGCTTCAGATTGATTTACGTGAAACTCAAAAACTTTAAGCTTTTTCACTTTTATTTTTGTATTCTTTTATAATTATACAATCATCCTTGATTTTATTAGGAATTACTCAAGCTTCCCCAATTTTTTATTTTCTTGACTCGAATTCGAAATTTTTGGTTAGAATGGAGCGATCATATCTTTTCAAGTTATGTTACGCCTAAAGTTTTTCTTTAGTACCCGAACTAACGGGGGAAACGATAAAGAAAAAGAAGGTTTGTTTGTCTATATTGATCTTAGCCATAAATATTGGTTCAAATGTAACTTGCCTGTTTAAGATAATTTCAAGTTCAGATAAGCTGCATTTATTAATACATGAATAATACTACTATTTAATTGCCCAAACCATATGAAATGGACAATAACACTCAACAGTTTGACTAGAATTAGAGGCATAATATAGTACTTATTCAGTTTTTAATATTCTAAAATTGCATATAAGTCAAACACTGTCGGCGTCACATATTTTAGGTAGTTTGTTGCCTTTCTATTTTTTTAAAATGGGTGAAGAGACCGACCAAATAACGTTCAGGAGATTTATTTGTTAAAAATGTAACAAAGCCAGAATGAACTTTCAACTCATATCCAGATCGCATTGTTGCATAGGTGTATTTTGGGAAATTATTTTTCAATTATTTCATTTTCTCTTATTTGTTAGGTACATACAGTAATAGATGACATATGATTCTCAAGTAGTATGAAAAATAATGGTAGTGTTTTAGTGATCTTTCTTTTAATTTTATGTACTAACAATATGTTCAAGTGTTGGCTGAAATAAGCGAGTTAAGGTCACGGGCGGATTTATAGTCCAGATTATGGGGTATGTGAAATTATGATTTTTTTGTCAAATTAGGTATTTTCTGTATATATTTTCTAGAATTTGTTTAATATTATCTGCTGCCCCCATGTTCTAAAAAGATTGAATGGTGCAATTGATTGAATATTGAGTTATTTTCCCGAAGGAACAAGGATTGATTCCCACAAATTTTCTTTTCTCCTTTTTTTAGTGGCACCGATGTTCTAAAACTTCTAGATCTGCTTCTGGTTGAGGTAAAACCAGAGCGTCCGTGAACAAAAAATTTTGAGGTAAGCAACACTGAAAATTATTTCTTTCATAAAATGTTGCCGAAAAGTCAATGGATCGTAGCCTTAGAAGGGGATTAAAAAGTGTAACGACCCGGCCGGTCGTTTTAAGAATTCACGCCCCGATCCTCTATTAACTGCATTCCCCGTGTTTGTTTCTGCTATTGTGAGTTGCCGAGAGGATTTATTTGGAGTTTCGGAGAGTTTTGGGACACTTAGTCTGTAAATGAGAGCTTAAGTTTTAGAATTTGGACCGTAGTCGGAACAATGT